GAGTGAATATTTTTTCATTTGAACATATTTTTTTAAATTTGAATTGCATTTTACATTTGTTTTCTGTGTTTTCCGTGAATCATATTTTTGTATATTTCGGGAATCAATCCACCATAGACATAGATGAAAAAGTAGTGGTGATGGCTCATATTTGAAGTAGGCTATGATTCTATCATGGACCCAGTTTTATCAGCTCTTGACAGCATCTCCAATTAGCATGACAGAGGGACCTCATTGTGTGTGCTGTATTTAACATAATTTGTGTTATTGTGGGTGTGTGGTAGGTACTTGAATTTGCTCTCTGCTGTTTTTTTCTCATCCAGGTTTACAGTGCGTGATTTCCAGTACAATGAGGAGGAGATGAAAGCAGACAAAGAGGAGATGACACGTTTGTCCACTGACAAGAAGAAACAGTTTGTACGACTGCTGTTTTCTAAATAATCACTGTTACTGTCCATTTAGGGAAGAACGATATTAATGGGGCTCACGATGTGCGGAGGGAGTGTGGTTTTGAACTCCATGGACAGCTGGTCGCAGATGTTTTGCATAGTAAAAATCAAAAACTATATATTCAGTTTTGTAGCCATTTTGTATATATTCCTCTTGCATTTTAAGTTAAGTAGTTTTTTAATCTTTCTACAAAATTGTTGCCGTCATTCTAGGGGCCTTTGGTACGATGGCTGAAGGTGAATTTCAGCGAGGCCTTCATCGCGTGGATCCACATAAAAGCTCTGCGTGTGTTTGTGGAATCAGTATTGAGGTGAGACCCAGTTAAGACCTTGCAGCTTTCATAAACCAGCCCTGTTGTTGTAGACGTGTTCATCCTTTAATGTCAATTTGGTTTCATGTTCTAATTAATAGAAGATGGCCTCCGTTCATGTGTTTCATAGGTATGGGCTGCCAGTCAACTTCCAGGCCATGCTGCTTCAGCCCAACAAGAAGAACATGAAGAAACTGAGGGAGGTGCTGTATGAACTGTACAAACACCTGGACAGCAGTGCTGCAATCATTGATGTGAGTCTGAGTAAAGGTTTTTTTCATGGTTTTCTCACCCACACATGCCGACTGATGTGGACTTTGAGCATGGAGCTGATGTGTACAGGTTGTGCTACAGGGGTGCGCTATTTAGTTGTGTTGCATTGCCGCTCACATCGAAACACGCAGAGACACACATTTTTGAAAGCCTAGCCCCGACTTTGTGCTCTTTACAGGTAGAACCGGCCGGCTACAGACTAGGCTGTAGCTCAGTGTCAGTGCTGCCAAGTGCGACAAAATAGCCTCCACTAAATACTGGAGTTTGCTACCTTCCTGTCCTAGGCACAGTGGCCGGATGTAGCACAGGATTTCTGGAGAATTTAGGAACTTCAGGCTGTGTTTGAGATGTCACCAGTGGAAAACATCTACAATTCGAAGCATCTCCAAAGTCGGGCAGCAACTACTTGAGTTACAACTCTTTTAATGCTGACTTATAAACACGTGGATAACAGTGAATCAGCTTCACCTCAAAACAAGCATCTGTCTTGTGTTCCTGGCCCGTAAGCAGTTTACACACTTTGGGCTGTGCGCTGACCTTTGCAAACCAGGGCAGATGATGAAACATCACGAGGAGCCTTGTGGACACAGAAAGTATCATTTGGCCTGAACACGTTTGGCCTACGTACTTTATGGCAAAGAGCTAGAGGAGAAGACTGATAGCACTCTCATATCCGCGCAGTACAAGCTTCTTTGAAATCTGTATGATGCATTCTAGTACAGCACCATCATCAACCATGACTATACCTCTATTAACGGGCTTCATGGCTGAACATTTGTAATATATTACATTGGACTGTAGAGGTGTAGTGAGCTTAAGAGGTGCTCGTTGGCTTATTTGTTATCTTTAAATAGAGACCTGCTATTCCCATGTTTCAATCTTTATGCTAAGCTAAGCCAACATGCTATTGGTTGTAAATGAAAACGCATATTATCTTATTTTGTCTTACCTAAGAACACTCTTGTATCTATCGCTAATCTTCCCCAGTAACCTGCATGAAGAAAGTTAAGACGGTTTAAAAGCAAGAATTTTGCATTGAACTCCTTTGTCTCCCTGCAGGCCTCTATGGACATCCCAGGGCTGAACCTGAGCCAGCAGGAGTACTACCCCTATGTTTACTACAAGATCGACTGCAACCTGCTGGATTTCAAAGTCTAGATTCGTTGCCATTATCATCATCATCATCATCATCATGTGCAGCAGTGTTCAGATGTGACACGTTCACAGACACAAGCTTTAATTTATTTCCATTTCCGCCCTCTTTTTCCTCTTTTTCACCTTTTGTGTTTTCATCCTCGTGTCTCCCTGTCATGTTCCTACCACATTCCTGGATCCACATTAAATAGGTTGTCAGGAAGCAGAGTGCTGATTAGCGACTGTCAGTAAGATCAGATAAGACTTCAGAGTTAAAGTAGTCTCCTCATAACTTTTGTTGTAACAGTATGGGTCCTTCTTTTTTAAAAATATATTTGTTCTGTTTGTACCACACTGTAAATGAACGACCTCCCAGGTGAACCCACCAGAACGGTTGACATTCCCTCATGTCATCAAGGACATGTACAATACTGTGTTTTTAATCTCACATTCCTCCACCTCATCATACTTTATTTAAAGTGACATGAACAGTACACGTGCGAGGGCAAGTGGGGAGAAAAATAAATGTATGTTAAATATATAGTATTTATTTTAAGCCTCTAAACTCTGTGAATGTTTCTGTTTGTTCAGTTTTTGAAGGTGATGTGTTTTTAGCTTTATGTAAGGAATGCCTGTTTACAAGTAGATGTTGACCATCGTTTCCCCTCGTAACGCTATAATCCTGTGAAACACTGAAACTGCTCATTTTACAGTACAAAGAAGCAATATGTGTGCTGATTGTATGCCCCCAAAATTTCTGTATATGGAGCAAGTTTGAGAATAATTAATTATAGGTATATGTGCAAATACTATATTGTCAGTATAACTGGAAATCGAACCACATATTTAAAATAAATGTGAAAATAAATACTCTATGTGAAAGATACTTGGCTTTTTGTCCCGTTTAGCTGCAGAATCTGTCACAATCCAACCTCAGACACACTGTTTGTTCCCTGTAATGTGTATAAAGATATATTTATAAAGTA